CCCCCAAATCTCAAGTTTCTGTAAGACCCCATATAAGGCATGATATATTCTGTTCACATAAGATAAATGAAATCAGGCTGTTGAATGCTGGCAACCGCCAGCTGGTTTTCAGTTTGGTAGTCCATCTTTTCTGTCAGAATAAGCTCCAATAGGAAATTATTTGAAGTTGGTTGCCTAATGATGAAGTTGCAGAACGCTCAACCAGAAGGGGATCTTCATCAAGCATATTTCAATTTCAATTCCTAATGCCTTCATCACTTTTTCTCCAAATGTTAGAAACGTCTAGGGAGAGCTATAGTGAAAGACAGCTGAATCACGTTAGCTGTCCTTTCTAGGAATGAGCGGGAAACACATCTCCCAACCTAAACATTCTGACAACACTTGAGATGCTCAGGGCCATCCCAGCATCCTGTTTTGCTGATCACCCTTCTCTTTTCTCTACTACTCCAGGCCTCCTGACCTCTCCTTGCTCCTCTCTCCTCTCTAGTCCTGCCCAGCCAAAATCACAGAGCATAAGAAACTTTAAGAAACCTCACCTAAGCCCAAAGCAGCAGTTACAGCTGAGCATCAGAGATGACAGTACAACGCCATCTTTTGCTCTGTATCAGGCTAAGCCAGTACTGTCACTAGAAAGCAGCAGCTTTGCCTACTCACTAACCCAACCACTGTTCTGCCCCCCTCCCCGCCCCCAGCCCATACCACTCCTTGTACCAGTATTTGTCTGTTTACAAGGTGAACTGAGGAACATACTCAGACTTTCAAGATGACAGGCACACATCAATCAAATGCACAAGCTAAGAGGTATGTCGGAACTGAGCCAACAGGAACAGCCTGTGGAGGTTTTGGTACCTTAGAACGTATATGCTGGGTGTTTGCGCACTAGGATTTTATGAAAAGATTTTTACCTTGGCCAGATTGAGGCAGGTTTCTATCCCTACCATAAGCAGCTGAAGTCATACTTACAATACAAAGGCACCCTTTGCCAAAAATCAAGTCTCTGCTTTAGAAGATCAGAGCACTACTACATCCCAAAGAATGGAGACCAGAAAACACATCACTAAGAACAATGCTCCCCCCACCCTCGACTTCATTCCAAATACAACTGAACCATCATTTTGGCTGCCACTCTTCCTTTAAGTTTTACATGCTTTCTCATCAGCATTATCAAATTAGCGTTGTCCTTTATGCTGCAGCACAAATATATGCAGTTGGTCGTTTCTGGCATCTGTGTGCAAACTAACCAATTTCAAACAGATGTTGGAGTTAAAAGAAAGGTGAGGAGGACGAAGTAGGACCATGCATGAGGGTAGTATTCAAAGTGGTAGTCTCCTAACAAGTTATCCAGTGAAATATATAATTTGTCACATTCAATATGGATTCATGCACTCCTACTGTTTTATATTAACCTTATCCATCTTACTTCTTTCTGTTGCCTAGTTTCAATTATTTCAAAGGGATTTTGGAAAACCTAGTAGCATATGACAACTTTCTTCCTTTTATTTATTTCTGCTGATATGCAGAGAAACGTTACACTACATTTAGGAAATACTGATTCCCTTTGCAGTTGCTGCTTGTATTTTGCAGAGCCAAGCAGCATTATATCCCATGGCTTTTCACCACATTTTAGCATATTGTCAAAGCTTCCTATCACTGTCAGCCACTCCTGATTTTTTCCTCTTGTCTACATTGTTATACCATGATTTTACAGGTTTTGATTACTGAAGAAAACTTAGGAGTGTTAGTAAAAATATTCTATAGCACACATTAATCCTACCAGATCTACCTCAAACAGACCTATTTACATCTGAGCTGCTATTTATGCCTTTTTCCTTTCTAACTGCATCATAGTTACCTTTCCATTATATCCCTAACAGAGCTTGTTGTCCCGTTCATTTCTTTTCCATCATTTGTCTTCCTCCTCTTGGCTTGTGTAAACCTAATTAAATTTTCATTTACACAGATTCACATAATGATTTTATCACCACTAGTTGGACAGTAGATGCAAGAGTTAAGACCAAAACCAGCCCGGAGAGTCAGAGTACAGCCTTGAGAGATTAAATATTTACTTCCTCTACCAGGACTGAAGATGATAAACAAGTAAATCACAGAAATCAGTGCCCAGAATGGCACACAATGTATTTTTAAAAATCCTGAGCAGCTTAACTGTATGATCCCCTGCAGCAAAGAATGCCACAGGTAGCACAAACAATTTCCTTTTGTTAAACTTTAACAGGAGTTCCTTCTGTTATGACACAGATGGAGCTTTCCAGTTTGTGTTACCGCTCACAGCTCCCTCTCTATTCCTTCTCTCTTACCTGCTCTTTGTAAATGCCCGTTTTATGTATACCCTCTCACGTCTACCCATTTCGATGAACCAGCTTT